GGAGTCAGGTTAACCATGGATGTGCTCTCAGATGAGCTCTTTGGGGAGTGCTAGTGGTTGGGGTACTGCGCTTGGATCCCAGAGGTTCTGAGTTGAAGCCCCACACCAACGGACTGCTACTCTGAGTCACTGAGTAAGATCCTTAACCCCACTCTGCTCCCCATGCGCTGCACAATGGCAGCCCACTGCTCCCCAAGGGGGTGGGTTAAATGCATTGAGTAAATTTTGTTGCTTTGTAACTGTGACAGTGTAATGACAATAAATTTTAATTCTTCTTCTACTATTCTTCTTCTTTTGGATCCACGTGCTGAGCTGGGTCCAGTATTGGAGAGACTGAGTGAAGGTCCCATAGATCTCAGCTTTGATCTCCACCTTGACTTGAACAGGATTTCAAACCTTTGTCTTATACTGACTGAAAAAATCAATTTAAAAAATATCCAACATCTTTATAATAATTGGACACAGCAATAATCCTGAGTTTTACAGTTTACTTTATTTCTAATAAAAGTCAGTAAAATTCCCTCTTATTTACAGAAACTCTGTATATTCCATATTTACCTTGTTCTGTGTCTCTAATACATTTAAACAGTATAAAACAAACAGATAATGTACAGAAGATCCGTAACAAAGTTCACTGCAGCAGAAATATTATCCTGGAAAACTCCACCCTATTTAACCATTTGATAGATGATGTTCTCTTGATGTTTGGGAGTCCCTCAGGGTAGCACCCTGGACTTTCATGAGGCTTCTCAGTGTCACATGAGCCATTTTTCACTCTTTGAGAGCATTACAAAGATCCTGGATCTGTTTAAACACAATGACTGGATTATTCATCTGAATCCTGAAATAATTCTTTTGTGAATTAATCTTTGAAAAAAAAATAAAATGCAGGAGGTTGGGAAGTGAAAAAAGTTCTGTTCCAATGTCGTTGCAAGCAAAGCAAAAGTGTTGTAAATGGAAATTTGAGGGGGAAAAAAACAAACAAACAAAAAAAATATGAAAATAACGGCAATCCAGGAATTTCACTTAGAAAAAAAAGTTTTGGGGAAAGTTTTGAGAGTAACTTTGCTGTTTTCTCTGTTTAATTGTTTTATTTTTATCTTTTTGGAAACTATTTATATTTTTTATTCTATTTTTTAGGCTTAGTTATACAAATTGTATTCTTTTAAATTGTGTTTTTTAATCACATTATCTCCACTTTCAGCCAAATAAAAACTGTGGTTCTTGACCTTCAAACACGTCGTTATCATCCAGCAGACCAATAAAAATGCATCTTCACTCCAGAGGAAGACCCGCCCCTGGTAGTGTAGGGAATATCATCTATAAAATGCTAATTGAAGAGAAATCAAATCATAAAACTTAATTTAAAAAAGAGAAATTTGAAAGCATTTCATTTAAAAATATAAAACCTGTAAATATTTAAAATATGAAAATGAAAAAAATTGTCTGGCAAAACTCAAATCTGAGAAAATAGAAAAGTTTTTCTCACAATCTTTTTTTGATGAATAGGCTTTTTTAAGTGTCAAATCTGGATTGCTTGTTTTTTTTTGTTTTTTGTTTTTTCAAATTCTCATTTACAATAATATTTCTTGCTAGCAACCATAACGGAACAAAATTCACAGACGGATGGAACGTGTGTTGCTCCTCCTAGTGAACATTTTAAAAATTAAATTAGAAGATTTCCCAAATAAGCCTCAGGACAATACTGGGAGATCAGGAAATTAAAATTCAAGGTCTGAGTGGAAACGTTCCTCCTGAAGAAGCAAGTTTATCACAAAGTTTGACATTTGATTCATGCTGTGAAATGGTTATTTCCTGAAAATAAGCATTTCAGAATACGGAAAAGGCTGGACTAACTGAGCTGCAGACGGAGAGCTTCACATGCAGCAGATGAACCACATTTAGATTTTAAAACAAGATCAAACCAAACTTTTACCAACCTCTCAAAATTCATATCAAACCTGCAGTTAGTTTGAGCTTTTAATAAAATAGAGAATAACGTCTAAAAGGAATGATCTCCTTTGCTTCACTGGAAAAATACTACAAGCAAATCTCCTCCTGATGGATAACTGGTGATCAGGGTTTAGACCTTTCAGCAAACAGGAACGTTCGGACCTTAAAGGATCAGTCAACCTGCTGAGGATTGATCCAGTTCTGGTCAGATCCAGTTAACACTGGTTTGAAAGCTTGATTCTGGTCAAAAAACCTCAGTTTGAGATGTTTCATTCAGACGTAGGAAGGACTGCGTTCAGAAATCCAAGCTTCCTTAAAATGAAACAAAGGTTCCAGCCCAGTCAGGATCTAATGTGGGCTCCTCCTCTGCTTTGTTCTGCAGCTCTAATAGGATCGTAAACAGGAAGAAGAACAGAAACGTCTCTGTAGATAGAAATCCTCTCTGCATCCGGAGTTACACACGGCTCTACAGTAACCTGGAAATAAATACATAAGGTACCTGGACAGCAGGAATTCTTAGACCTACAGGATCCGTCAATGAAATAACCCGAACAGAACATCAGTGTTCTGAAGGTGAACCTTCTGAAACACCAGTTAGTGGTCAGAGAGGATCATCTACCACCAGTGACCAGTTTTCTCTCTGAAGATAAGATGGAACATGGATCTGTGTCGAAGGGAGGTTCTGGTGGAATCTGAGTCTTAAACAAGGTTCCGGTGCCAGTCAGAAGGGATGTTCCCCACAGGTTCTAATGGTCAGACCCATTTCTGAGATGGAAATATTTAAAACTAGAAATATCCAGAATGTTTGAGTCTTTCTGGTTCCAGGTGCTGGTTGGACTTTGATTTTACAGATGTTAGGATAATTCTAGGCAGTTCATCAGATGATCCTTAGAACCAGATGTGGTGGTTTCTCTCAGGTGTGAGTTTTCAGCTCCATAATCTGGATTCAGTAGAAGTCTTTTTTCTCTAACTTGGTCCGTTTGATTAAGTTCTTTTAAAGAAACCTCTTTCAGAAGTTTCAGAACCAGGTCAGAGTTTTCCATGAGGTCAAATATGGTGGTTTTAGTTCCACTTGTTCCAGCTTCTCCTGGTTGGAAAATATAATGACGGAGGTTCCTTAAAATGTTCTGGAAGGTGAAAGTGGATCTCCAGTTACATCTCAGAGAAGATGTCCTTGAACTCGTTGAGCAGGATCTCCACGATCTGGCTCTGAAAGACCATGTGGACCGTCATGTTGGCCGACTCGATCTGCGGTCGGAGCAGCGTGGGTCCGAACACGATGGCGATGCTCTGCACCGACATTCTGTTAGAATCTTTGTGCTCGATGACCCTGAAAGAAGCAGAGAGGCAGGTGAGGACTGGTTCTGATTCAGAGCGGTTGGTGTCGGTCGTTAGGGTCGGCTCACCTGCGCAGGTGTTTGAAGAGCAGCTTCATGGTGTCGTAGTTCGGCAGCGGCAGAGAGGAGACCAGGTCTTTCATATAGGAGACCCTCTGGCTGTGGTCTGGAAGCTCTGCACCAACAAAAAGATGGACGGCGAGGTCAGATTCAGAATCTCCAATATGATCCAACACTGGATGCTCAAGAAACGACAGCAGTGTGGGATGGAAAACTGGAACAAAAGATTCTTTCTGCTTATATTTTCAGTTTTTATGCTGGAACTGATCTACAGGATGCTGTTTTACAATCAAACACCAAATCAGTGACGCTTTGATCTGATCTTTTAGTCAAAGACTCCAGAACCTGAAAAATACTGCTTTGATAAAACATCATGTTCCAGAAGAAGAAACAGATTTCTCCTTTGGATAATTTAATCATCATTAATGTTTGAAGAACCAAATGTTCTTGCAGGATCTCAGCGGGTTCCTTCATCTTGAACATCTCAGACTGCTGTGGATGGATGTGGTCTGGTGTGTGTGTGGGAACTAACGGATGGCGGCGATGAACTTCTCAAAGCTGTAGAAGGGAAACAGCGGCTCTGGAAGCTCTCTGAAGAAAAGCTTCAGCGCTCCGGCGATCACATGGATCTCCTCCCACTGTCCGTCATCCAGGTCCAAATGTTCTTCTGCAGAGACACAAAACCTCAGAGTGAGGGACGATCTTCAATGTTATGAAGACAGCTGTGTGCTGAAGCTTCTATTGGACTATAACTCCTGATCCTGTGGATGTATTCAATGAAAGACTAGGTTTATTTTCTCTGCATCGGACTTTGTAGCCTCCCTCATCTCTTCTATATAAGATTCAGAAACCTCGTTACCATGGTCGGCTTTGTGTCGGAGTCTCTGGATCACCGCCAGGTTCCCGCTCACTCTGTAGATCCCGTCAACATCCAGACCTAAAGGAACGAGAAAAGTCAGATGACAGAGAATAAATGGAGGTGAATTCTCCCTGAGGAGTTTAAAACACTGTAATACAGATGCTACTTTTTGAGCATTTTGAGCATCCCATTATAGATACAACAGCAGGAGGTGAAAGAGTTTAATAGGAAAAAAGAATTGAGTCAACTAACTGCCCTAAATAGTAAAAAATCTTGGGCTAGCGACTGCTCTGCTGTGATTTCTGATGCTTCCTTCTTTCTGAAGCTCCTCAGTCTTTTTTACTGAAATGTCATTCTTGTAATCTGATATAAACATAGAATTAAAGCATCCAAACAGTTAAAATCGAAGCTTCATTCGTGTAAAAATGAAAGGAAATTCCTTATTATAAAGAAACAGAGCCAAGAAGGGAGCAGGTGCAGTGCGAAGAGTAGGGGGGCGTTAACCAGAGCCCTGTGGGACTCCGAAAACAAAAGAGGTGCAGAGGAAGACGTATTATCACCGAGGCAAACACAAGGATACGCCAAGAAAAACGCTGACGATGAAAAGCACAAAGACAAATAAAGTCATTAGTCAGGTGCTGAAATCATTGTTGCCTCTGATATGGCTGTTTCTAAAGATTTAAAATAACGTTTTATCTTTCAGGTACATCATTATTTTATCAAACAACTTTCTCAAGAGTTTATGCAAGAAATGGTGGCTTAAAGTCTTCAATTAGCATGAAAAGACGAGTAAAGAGTTGATGTCACAAACTCTTAACTAGCTGTGAAAACATTGTAGTGGAGAAAAAATATAGAAAATCATCATGGAAAAAAAGTTCTTTTCAAATATCCATTCATTTTCTGTCAAGCTTCATCCCAGCTGGGGTCACGAGTGTTGCTGTTGCCTATCTCCAACTATCTATGGTCGAGAGGCGGGTTGCACCCCATTGCAGGGCAACACAGAGACAAACAAGCATTCACTCACACCTAAGCAAAATTTAGAGAAGCCAATTAACCCAACAGTCATGTTTTTGGACTGTTGGAGGAAACTGGTAACCTGCCTCCGCCAGATGGATTTGCTCCGCATATCCATCTGGAAACCTTCCGTTGAAGT